TGTTCTTTGATTATATCAACGCCAGGCATCCTAGTATTCGTTTCACAATGGAAAAGGAAATTGATAAGAAATTATCGTTTCTAGACATATTGTTAGACAACAATCATACATCCATCGTCACCAGTGTATATCGCAAGAAGACGTTTACTGGTCTTCTTACTAATTATTTCAGCTTCGCCCCTTTGATTTACAAATTAGGTTTAGTCAGAACGTTGATTGACAGAGCATATAAGATCAATAATTCCTGAGTTGGTTTTCATCTGGATGTCAAGAAACTTATTTTCTTGCTTCGGAAAAATTGTTTTCCATCTTGGGTCATAGACAAGATCATTTACAGGTATCTAGCGAAGAAAAATAATCCTTCTCCTACTGGGCGGAACGCCTCTTCTAACTCCGGTAAACCTTCTGCGCACTATTATAAACTTCCCCATGTTGGTCGGTTTTCGAACATCGCTCAGACTAAGTTAAGACAACTACGTCTTACGTCCTTTTCTAATAAGTGATTTCAAAATATGTATTTCCCAAAATAATCGTGAATCTTGAAAAGGCTAAGTTCTCTTTACCAATTTACCAAAGAATCATAGCTGCCGAAAGGTAAAAATTACTGGAATTAGATCAGGGTAAGCCTGAAGGCAAGTAAATTATCTGCCTTGTGAGGGTGCGCAATTTTGCTGTGATTGCAATATTCTAAGACAAAGAACTAATTTCATCAGTTCCCATTTTTATTGCATTACAGTATTTCGCCTGATACAATACTCCCCAAACAGTAAGCTACAATATTCCTCGTACCGAGGCGAACCCTCCATACGATGCTAATTAAACCTCGTCAGCCTTGGACGCCCGCGAATGGAAATTCCGGAAAAGTTGGCGGGGGCCGTTCAGTTGTGAGTTCAACTTCAAATGTTGCAGGGGCTGAGGAGGGAGGTTTCGGATTGGCGGTGGAGGATTGGCAATCACCATCCCAAATTTGTATTCCATGCTCCGTACAAATCACAGCAAAGCAGCCATTAGGATCGCCAGATATGACTTCTCCAGGAAGGTACACTCGGTCACCGTATATATCGCATCCTTGCGGTTGGGCAGTAGGGCTCAGCGAGCCGAATGGCAACTGAGGGGCTGCAGGTCTGCCTTGAGTGTGTCCATTGATCAGCAGTAAAATTACCATTATTGAGTAGAATAGAGGAGGGTTTTGTGCCATTCTCTGAACGGAAATAAAACCAAAAACTTAAGACTCACGACAACTCAACGTTCATATCCATTGTCCTTAATTCTAAACTCGTAAAGATTTTTGTACCAACGGGGAGCCAAGCCTAAATCTTCCTGATTTACACACTTTTAATTACTGTTTACTTCGACAGAAAAACACGAAATCTACTTGATTGAAATAAATGTAGAAAAACTAAATATCAACCGACCTTGTAAAGATATGAGAATTTCAATGCTTGACTGGTTTTTTAACTGCCACCAAAGTTTCTCTTGTAGGCTTGAATTAACTGTTTGCTTTTAGTCGGCGAGTGACTTACTGTGATGTGAAAAGATAAAGCAAAGCTAATATGATAGATCCTTGGACACTAAGTCTCTCTGAAAGAATTTTTTGACAAAAATGTCGGCCATGACAAACATCACCAGATGAATACTTAGCCAGTTACTAACGGATCAGTTTTTTTGGAGACGCTATTTGCTGTGGGAAATCGAGAAAAAATTTACTGTTACGACCTCCCAATGTAGTGCTGGAAATCTTTCCAATCTTTACTTTTTATCCTAATATTCAGTTTCAACCCATGACAAATTACTGGACTTTCAAGGAAACAAGTCTCAAAATTCAATGATTAATTTTAGCAATCAGACGGTTTAAATGACAAAGACAGACACAAATCTGCATAAGTCATGCTGTAGATTTATGTACACAGCCTGGGTATTTTAAGGATTTACTCACCAGATGTCCTGTATTTTGGCCTTCAAATTTGTTTCAAAAGGGATAGGTAGTAACGAGGTTTATTCCATTAAGTAAGGATATTTATCATGAATTCGATTTCCCTAATTACCCTCTTAAAAGAAATCCAAAAAGGATCACCCCAGCATTAATTAAGTTTCATTTTCTCTTTTGCCAAAAATCAACGCAATATTTATCAGGAATTGTTCATGGTGAACACTGAATAAATACAATGAGGGGAGAAAAATTAAATTTTTGTTTTTAATCACTTGACAAGTAATCATAGCATTTGTGCTTTTCGTGAGTTATGTAAAATTTGGTGTACGTTTTGTCAAGAAAAGGCACTCAAGACTTATGTGATTCTAAGATTGAGGCTTTCCTGAGTTGAAGGAGGTGATCAGTGGAATTTGTCTACCTAGGTCCTACTTCCTCATTTATACATCAAAAGAAACTAACTTACACACTGCTTATTTCCCTTACCTTTAAGCCGAGCCTGATACTTCTATAGGCATGAGGCGAAAAGGAGCAAACGTATCACAGGCTATTTACCTACCCCACCCCTTCCCCGTTTGCTTGTATATCAACACCCGCTTTCACACCCATACTACGACCAGTTCGCGGGCTAAATCAAAGGAATGAGCATCCAAGGAAATCAGAAAATTTGGAACCTAATTTGTTTAATCGAGAGAACTTCAGAAACAAAGAGCAATGGTATATTATAAAAAAGTTACACTTTCTGTAAATTTTAGTGTGATTTTAAAAAGAGCAATTTTCAATTAAGTTTTTAAAGTGAAGTAATCCATGATTAGTTCCTTACTGCGCTTTGTGATTGATTTAGACAACTCCAGACATCCTGATCAGACCCACCAAGTGCATCATGTCGATATTTTCTGTCGCAGCTCAGGCAGTTGGCGCGGTGTTACTTGGAGTTTCACTGGTTTTGTCCAATATTCGACTTTTTTTCTCATCGACCGTTGTAATTAATTCATTCTTTTAGATAATAAACTCAGTTGAAAATCACTCCATAATAGATTTGACTTAGCTAGCTAGGTTATGGCGCGCAATGTTGCACGCGAAAGTCTGAAACAATGTTGTGTTTGGTCCAATGGTCACGCGCCACTTTCTGAACCAATCAGATTCAAGGCTAAAACCAATCACAACTTGCTCACTCACAATTTCCCGCGCTTCAGGCAGTTTGATTGATTTACTTCGTGTCCTTATTGGTTCCTCGTGACCATTTTCTGTTGTGATTGGTTGTTGTAAATGATTGCTTTGGTTTTGGTTTTATAACACCCAATCGAACAGTGCTTTTTTCTGGCCTATGCCAGGTCGTTTACATACTTAAGTCATGTGAAATACCCACCTGCTCTTTGAGTAGAATGAAGAAGGTCGGGTTGAAAGCAAACAACATTGGAAAGAAAATGATAATCACCTTGGAAAGCGTTTTAGCGACCTCAATGAGCATCGAGATGTAGACTGATACCAACGTGATAGAATCGTCTCAGGAACAGGATCAAGGTGGTGTACGATAATAGAATCATTATCGAGCCGAGAGGCCACATGACCTTTGTACCTTTGAAAATGATGTTTGCTCTCCCGAGATACGGAGACAAGAAACACAGAGTACACAGAAAACAACACCATTCGACATAGTTTGCGATGTGAGTTAGGTATCTCCATTTCTGAATGGAAATTTGGTAAAGTTCCTTTATCATGTGAATGCAGATAAAGATCACAATCAGAAAACATGCTCCGGTTGAAAACGCACTTCTAGACTTGAATAATTCATCGCTTTTATTTACGCCATGATTAAATAGCCGCAGCTTTTCTCGTTCTCCTATTAAGAACAGAGACAACAGCACAACAAAAGTGAGGTAGGACAAAAAGTTTATCCAAAATAACGGCCTTCCCATGGTACTCCACTTCCCCTAAAGAAGCGCCTGCGATAATGGATGCATGAGAAGTCCTTCGTGCTCAAGTTGGACCATGTGGGAAGGTGCAAAAAAGCGTGGACCATCATAAGTTCTTGGGTCTTATCTCCTGGAGCAGAAAGAATGCTGAGGTCGAAGGTGATGGAATCAACTCAGGGTCATCTTTTGGATGATCGGAGCGGGTTACACATTTATCCATGACAACCTGAGCAATTCTGGCATGCTCTTGACTAAGTTCTTCATTGGGTTTGCTCCTCTGTTTACAGCGTATTTAAACAAGCTCATCCACCCAGAAGCAAGCAGTCATGAGCGACTTTGAGACTTTTAACACAGTGATGGTTTCAAATTTTCTCATACGGAGGGAGACTTTATGTATCAGTCACCTAAAAACATTCACCTTTCAGTCAACTTACACCATGTTACAATGTTCAATCATTCGGTCCAATCCCTGAGGACAAAATGGTACCTACAATGCACCAACTTAGGACTTATTAGGCGAACAAATGCTCCAAACCCGTGAACTTTCAAAATGTCTCGAACTGATTCCAAAGGATAAAAGTGGTCTGAATTCCTTTCCTTCTTTACCTTGAAAATCCAACAGTTGACATAACATGTCAGATTGTTCGAAGTAATGAACCAAAGGTGGTTTTGATACGTGTTTTTCTCCATTTACCATTTGGCCCCTAAGAGCCACCAGTGTCGAAATTCTCCTTACAGTATCACCCCTGGCTCAAACTCTTAATTGTTAAATAAATTCTCCTTGTCAGCACCTTTTGAAATGTATGGAGTATATGTATGCTGATGTTAGTAAGATTCCTTGATCACGAACACAACTGGACTTATTTGGGATTCTCAAGAATTACTTCAGCCACGTTTTCCATGTCACACGTGATAGCAACATCTAAACACGTCAACATTTACTTATTACGCGCAGTGATATCAGCACCACGTGATAACATAAGCTCTAACACGTTAACGTGACCGTAGTTTGCAGCCACGTGAAGCGCGGTGTCGCTATTTTGATCGTCTGCATCAATTGCACCCACGGATTGGTACGAAAGTAGTGCTTGAGTAGTGCGTGGGCATCCACCAGAGGCGCAATGATGCAGGGCTGTCCAGCGATTGCTGTCTCTGATACTGGGATTGGCGCCCAAGTGTAAGAGAAGAACTGTCGTTTTCCTATTGGCAACAAAAAGCAATAATATTAGTCATGTGCGAGCATGCTGGTTAGAGTCTAGAAATGGTTTTCAAAGGTAGACAGAAGAGCGCGCAAAGCTCACATTTCACAAGACACAAAGGCAGAACGTTCAAACAACTGCTTTCTATGATTGGCTCACTATGCTAGGCAGACAAGAGAAATACTTCTCTAAAGGTAGACAAAGGTTCCCGCAAAGTTCCCATTTTCAATACATTAAGTTCGAACATAAAGGAAGACGTTCAAACGGCTACTCTCTGTAATGCAGTGGGGTCCGATCCATTACATCCTCGGGAGCTACAGTGCATTTCTTTACCAGCAGCATTTGAAGGATCTGGTGATTATCATTGCAGGCTCCAAATTAGCAAAGACATTTTATAACTGGATGTGACGCATTTTACAGTGACAGTGACAGTGGCAGTGACGCATTTTACAGCTGGGTAATTGTGTGAATATTTATTAGCCCCTGTATAGCGCAGCGGGTAAGTGCACCAGAATGTAGTAGCATATCACTCACCCACACATCTAACAGTACACGAAAAATGCTTCGCAGGGGAGGGGGGTCTCAACAGAGACTGGCCTGTGTTAAACAGCCTTACCTTCAAATTCCCTTTATGTGCCGCGTAAAACAAAGGCGTTTGTAAATCCTTGTCTGTTTCGTTGATCAATTGGCCTTAATCTCGATTAAGGAACATGCGAGGAGTTCCTTCTCGTTCATGTTTCACAGCAAGGTGTAGACAGGACCTGAGAGACGCATCTCGTGACTTGAAGTCAGCCCCAGAATCCAGAAGTTGTTCCGCAGTTCTGGTCCTACTTCGCTTCACTGCCAAAACGAACGCAGTGCAATTTTCGTTGTCCTTGGCATCAACATCGGCTCCGTTTTCCAACAGGAAGTTGATGGTGTCTACACGGTCAAATTCAGCAGCTCTGCACAAGAAACAGTTACGATAGAGAATATTATTCAGTTTTCCTCTGAATAAACTGTCTTTTGAGAATCAAGAGAAGGGCGTTGATAACAGGTAGAGTTTAAGGTGAATGTGGGCCCCTCTTGGTCACCAAAAAGTGATTATTCAATAGTTACAAAACAACCTGACATGCCTGCCCCTCCCCCCTTCCCCCAAAAAATTACAGTAAGACGTTACTCTAGGAACCTTAGACAGAATAATTCAGTCCCTGTAAGATATATAATGCCTCTTTCGTCTTTGAAGATTTGAAGTTCTTTGTTAAACCACTACTCTTTAGATTTGGTATATCGCTACTAATTCTCTCAATTTAGGGGTTAAAGTGCACAAAACCCCTTCATCGTATGGTTTCGATTCTTATAATGGAGTTTTAAAGATTCTCTCGTTGCCCAAGGATGAGGACGAATAGAAACTCTCTACGGCGGCCAACGTACAGTCTAAGACCTGGTTGAAAACAGTTGATAAAACCTAATTATCATTCAATTAGGAGAGACTATTTTGTCCAATGACTTCGCATCTCTTGAAAAGGTCGCAGTGCACTTTTCTCGCCTTTGAAGAGGAGTTCTTTGCCACCCATCTCTACCATCAACAGAAGCACCATGAGATATCAACAGCTTTACAATATCAATGTGTCCACAGGCGGCCGCGAGATGCAGGGGAGAGTGCCCACTCAATTTTCCATTCGTCTCCAGACCATCCAGAACATCAGCTCCTTGACTCATCAAAAGCTCTGCAGTTTGCCTGTGGCCCTTCTGACGGGCTAAGTGAAGTGCAGTGTTACCTTCGAAGTCAGGCGCATCAATGTAGAGTAATGGGTTCCCAAACTCAAGAAATGCTGGAACAGAATAGCGACGGTCACATGCGTCAAGGCAAAAATGATGTGGCAAATGATGTGGCTATTACCTTACCTATGTAGCTTCACGCCAATTTACATTATCACACAGTTGATACAACCAAATTATCTTGCCATACCCCTACCGACGCAGCACCACAGTTTATTAAGAAACTTACCCGGTTTATACAGTAGAGGTAAGCTTAGAAGGGTAGTCATGGTTTGTTCTTATATATTGGATACTGAGAGATTAATTGATAAGCAAACGGAAAGAATAAAACCACTGACGTTGCTTCTTTTCTTTTTAGTATTTTTCCAGAGAAAAATAATTGCAAAGAAAAGAAATAGATTGCGAAAAAATATACTTATGTTATCAAAGACACGTGAACGATATTGGAGCGGCGCTAATGCGTTCTCAATAGTTAAACTTCGAACAGTTTTCAAACTTACCCGTTCTTTGATTAAAAGTTGAACGATTTCTTCGTTTCCGTGTAAGGCAGCTAGATGCAGAGGACTCTTCTATTCCACATTGCGCATGCGAATGTTCGACTTATGCTCCAGGAACAGCTCATACAACTCGAGCTTACCACTAGCGCAGGCTAAGTGGAATGGCGTCATACCACTGTTATCTTGAAAGTTAAACAGATGATCGACTGTCACCGAGTAGAACTTTGGACGAGTCTACACAACCGTGGCGAGCCGCAAAGTGGAGCGGAGTTGCACCGTCAGAATCCTTCATGGAGGGATCGGCACCATACTCAATTAGTGCCTTAACAGCTTCATAGCTGTTGTAACTGTAAGGAAAGATAAAAGAATATTTAGCTTCTGCTTAAGGCTTAAAAACTGAGTTTTGCGCGCTGCCCAAATGAAGCGGGCTCCATATCTAGAAGGCGAAGGGCCAAGCGAACATTTTTGGCGCGATTTTAAGACTAGCACCGGTATAGCACAATCTAGAGTATATTTCAGTTGATAAGGCACTACACAGCCACAACACTGTGTATACCGCACCTTTACATCGATTGAAAATGTCCGCAATAATTAGGTAGTTATTGGCCAGGATGAAGGTGTGGCCAGGATGAAGAAGATTGGCCAGGATGGGGTGTGTGACAGTGAAAAATAAGGAGGGGGTGAGGGCGGGGGAGTGAATATTTCGCCCCTTCCTACCCTGCTGGCTATGCGGCAAATTGATATCTTTCCAACCTAGATATGAAAGTAGTTCTTACGATTTCGCATTGTGGTAAATAATAAGGCATCCCTCTTCTATAGTTTCAGAGCGGCACTGGTGCTGATAGTTTATTTTAACTCAAAATCTTTTGTTCATCGTGGCTCTCTTGACAACTAAAATAAACAGAAAAAAATCAATGAATCGCCCCTGACCTGACCTTTCCCCTTCTCCCAACAGCTGACTTGATAGCCTTGTAAGAATAAAATAATAATACGCTTGTTATGTAAAAGATGCTTAGCGCAATTTCAACGTGCCCAGGCATGTTTCTCAAGCAATGCAAAAAAAAAAGATTTCAACACTGAGTTGATTAGTCCCGGCTAGAAAAAAAGTTGTGCTGCGTCAGCCAAAAAAGTAAGCAAACTCTTCGCCAAACACATTAGCGCAGGTCATAAGATTCCTCTCTGTGTGTAAGGTACAAAAACGGTTCTTGGACGACCGGTCAGTCCTTGGTTAAATCAATTCTTCATCGCTGATTGGCCACTCTTGATAAGACCGGCTGTGGTCTCGAGCATTGGCCGTTCAGATCTCAAGTTTGTTATGCAATTATGAGGCAAATAAATTAGCAGTTTGGATCCGATTGAATTATACTGTTAAAAAACGAAAGTTTTTAGATAAACTGAGGTTTGGCTTAACAGAATGATGGCAGTAAGTAAGATAAGAAAATTAAATTGCATTTTGCTCATGGTTGTTTTGTTCGTGTGTGTCAGAGAACAAGGTGCAACTTCAGAATACCCCTGATTTAATTTTCCTTTGAAGTCAGCCCAGTGTGTAAACTTGGTTCAAATTCTATTTGTTGAAGCAAAGTTCAGGTAAAACTTATCGCACTGCTACATGTAAAGGCGCTAGTAACTGTCATCCCTGCTGATTGATGTTCACTTTACACTCGACTATCATCGTAACCACTTCCGAACCTGAATAGCGCGGGCAGTGTAATGGAGGGCTGTAAAACCATTCCTGTCCGCGTCATTTGCAATTTAAATCTTGTCCGATATGAGAATACTGCCTGACGAGGGCTAACTTATTTTCTCGGACGGCTTGTGGAAGACTCATCGTATTAAAACTCGCGTTTAAATCCAGTGGTAAAGTAGAATAAATTTCGAGTGTTTCTAAAAGATGTTGATTACTGGACTACCCGGAGATGTGCTCGGAAGATGTGGTCGCTCAAAGTCCAAAAGACTGTCGTGTTCCATGCCATTTGCCATGATGAGAATGTCTCGTAAGGGGCGATAAACAAAAAATTTGTTTATAGAAACGTGCGTTCACCCCAACTTATTGTCTCGCAGATCTAAGATCTGTCCCAAAACAATAGCCGGTCCGTTAGAAAATACCATTGTTGTCTTTGAAGACACAACAACAAGGCACATAATTACTTAAAAAAATTATTATGCGCCTTGTCGTTGTTAGAAGATAATTATGCGTAGACAATTAAAACTGAATAGTAATGTTCCTCAATTTTTAAATTTGATTTGAAAGTTTTGGGGATCAATCTCCACTTTTTAACAATTTATTTGTTGTTGAAAATTCCAACATGTAGCCTACGTGTAGTCGTACCCTCCGCCGAGCGTTTCTCCTCGAGGGGACTCCCGAGGGAAATGAGCGGAACCGGAAATAGAAAACAGGCCAGAACAAAGCGCCTGATTAGGCAATATTACACAGTCTTTTGTAACAATATAGTGCCATGATAGTGTCATGGTATTTTAAATCGCATGTGCGTTTCTGTGCAGTGAGGTAACGGTTGCGTTGGCGTTTCTGTTTTCTTAGGAAATGTCAGTCACACGCGAGTCACGAGTTGTCAGAAAACGAAATAAGTAGCCACGTGACTTCAGTTCCGGTATTTAAACACAGATAGTACAGTTGCGTTTCGTTTCTGTCGTGAGTTGCTGTGGATATATTGCGGCAAATATGTCTATGTTATGCTTTGTAGTACTCTGCTTATCGTTCTCTCTGACAGTTGTTGCGGCCATCAGCTCCTTCGACCTCCAGGATTTGCCTGAGACTCACATGAATGTGGTAAGTTACAGATGTCGCGGGCTTATCTTTCTTTTATACATCTCGTTTATAGAACTCTGCCTTTCATACAAAGTATACAGCTGAGAATTTTATGGTCTTGGTTACGAATATATCGATGAATTTCACGAGGAAAGTTTTAGATTCGACACTAAACAACTTTGATTCGATGCATTACGTCGACTGGCCTTTTTGAACAATGGAGATTTAACACCCGTTGCTAGCTGCACTGGCTTTACTTTCAACTACCACCAACTCTACAGCTCAAGTTGCTGTCGTTATTTACAATGTCAGATTATTCTTTCAAAGAGAAGTTTTATGTCCGGTTTCTTGAGCAGACTAGAAAGTGAAAGCACTACTGAGACAAAAGGTGACGCAGCGTTCAAGTAACACAATCAAAATTTTCATCTAAGTTGAAAACAATTGGCGTTAATTCTTTGTGTCAGCGTCCGAACACTTTTTTCAGACAGACATGGATATGTTTACAGTACTTTGACCCGAGTTTAGACGGGAGAGTATCACGAGTTCTGAGTCACGAAATCGGTTTGGTGAAGGAACTGAAGCGACTGGGAGTAGAAGAAGGAGGGGAAGTAGGCGTGTTACAAGGCTGAGGTGTGATTTAGAAAGAACAGAAGGGAATTAGTCCTCAGTGCAGGCCCCGCGGGGGGGGGTACTCCCCCGAATTTTGGATAGGTGTGTGCCGCGAAAGTTCGTGAACCCTAACCCTATTCAAGGACTAAGAAAGCGAAAACTGATACCCTTTTTAAGGCCCAAAGCCGAAAAATGACACCCTATTCAAGGAAAAAAACAAAATTGTTAATAGGACGAAAAGGAAAACTTTATTTCTTCTCCGTAACATTGGATGTATAGCATCAAGCGTAAAATACTAGAATAAGCCTAGTTTAATAATATGCAATCATAACCATGATACATCTTTCAGTCGGTCTGTTTATAACAGCGGATTACAGCCAGGATTATTCGTACAAGACTGTCTCTACCTACTTTATTCGTATTGAACTTTGATCGCGGCTAAACATTACCCTTCTATCACTCGTTATTTCATTAAGCTAAGTTTTGTTGGGAGAGTTATCTTAATTAAATGAACGACAGTCATATTATTAATTAATAATGTGGCTTGAAGAGGCGTTACGTGTATTTACCGGCTTAACGGCTATTAAACCTCTGTTGCAAAGTCATTTTGTTACAATACTTAAACGGATACATCAAGTTTTATAAAAAAAACCGGGCATTTAGGCGGGCGTTTTCGCACTCCAGTATTAGATATACAATTAAGCTGCCCTATCTAAGGACCACACCAGGGACACAGAAACAAAAGGGTAAAAAAAGATACCCTATTTAAAGACCGAGAACCTCCAAAACCATACCCTATTCCGCAGCACGTACCTATATGGCCCATATATGGGAGTACCCCCCCTCCCCGTGCAGGCGTCTTATTGGGGTGAGTTAAAAGAAACGCTCAAAGAAGCGCGCGATCGTTCAAATTTCTTTCTCTCTCTCCAACCTTCCTCTAGCATTAAAATCAAAGATGACGCCCATCATTTTCGCTCAGAAAATACTAAGCACCCGCTCGCCAAAATTAAGCCTGCTCTGCACGCTAGAAGGGAATGAATACCAAAGAGATCTTCGCAGTAAAGAAGAAAGAACGGAAGGTTTTTATTTTCATAGCTATCGTTTTCCTTTCAATAGAGAGCAAAAATATACTGATACAGACATGTTCTGACATTTTCTCCTAGAGTCAAATAATTCGTTACAATGGTTACCCAGCCGAAGAATACAACGTGGTTACAGACGACGGTTACGTCATCACTATACAAAGGATACCCGCAGGAAGAAAGGAAAATTTGATGGATCTAGGTGGTCCAAAACCTGTAGTTTTCCTTCAGCATGGTCTTTTATGTTCCTCATCTAACTGGGTCACAAATTTACCCAACGAAAGTCTGGCCTTTATCTTAGCTGATGCAGGCTTCGACGTTTGGCTTGGGAATGTTCGAGGGAATACTTACGGTCTCCATCATGTCAAGTATCCCGTCCATTCAGATGAATTCTGGGATTTTAGGTAAGCTTATCCTTAGCTTAATTTCCTGAAAATGTTTTTATGCCGTTGTACACTATTTCTCGCTCTATGGGTAAGTGCGTGCTTACCTGTCACCCTCCCTCAGCCTGGCAAGGAGCGGTGGCGGATTTATAAATCATAGCAGTTAAATTTTAACTTTTCGCTTCTCCAACCTTCGGGATTCATGAATCGCGGGATCTAGTTGACAAGAAATCATAAATAGCGAAAAAAAAGGTTGTCCATGACTCATGAATAATTGAGCTTAAAAAAGATAGGGAATTACCAGTCTCTAAGGTCGGGTGATTGCACCTCCCGCGCCTGATATTTTTGGGTCACGGTGATGGAATCTGACCGGGAGGTTTTGTGAACGTGCACGAGATCTGCGTGGGCGAGTTTTTTATACGGATCCAGCGTTCGAAGACGATAACTGCAGGGTCAGTTCCCCCTTCGTACTGTGTTTGAGTTTTTCATTTTCATAATTAAATTTAAAGTTGACGTTAAGTCAAAATTTTCATTTAGAACTGAAACTCTAACTAAAACAGGTGGTAAGCTAGGAATGCGGCTGAACGCTTTTCCTCACGCTTAAAATCTTCGGAGCGTTACTGCTCAACCTTTACGAGGGCGAACTTTGACCGGGTGTGGATAGAGAGGGGAGGGTAAGTAACATTCCAAGAAACACCGGATCCACATGAGAAAGTTTTCTACAAGATTCCTGCTTTTTGGTGGTAGTGAGGTACACGATAGTTAGGCGTACTCCCACAACTACCCGCGGCGTGCTAACATTATTTGATTTTTCGCGATTTTTTTTTTCTTTTTTTTTACTAAAGAGGGGAGTTCTCGTAGTCTAGGCCCCCGAGGAATATCTTAATAGTTTTCAAACTGAAACGAGTGCATCGTATCAAAAATCATTCAAAGATTGTTTTTGTCCTTCATTATTCATAGTTGGGATGAGATGGCTCGATATGACCTTCCCGCCATGTTGAAGTTTGTGGTGTCGAAGACCTCTCAGCCGTCATTGTTTTACGTGGGACATTCTCAAGGAACTCTCATCGCCTTTGCAGAGTTTTCAAGGAATAAAGAATTGGCCAAACTGGTGAAGAAGTTCTTTGCCTTTGGACCTGTGACAACAGTTGGTCACTTGGAGAGTCCAATTAAATATTTCCGTTATCTCGCACCGGAACTTCAGGTTAGAATTGCAGCTTAGAAGCTTTTACCAGCTTTCTCCCAGACATTTTAAAGCCACCTCACCTTTGAGTCACAACACATAATAGGTGGTTTGCAACCAATCTCTTGAGACACCGGTAACAATGGTGAAAGGAACAAATGCTGGTGGACGTTTACGTCCACCAACATGGCGGCGATGACGTAACGTGCAAACCACCTATAAGATAGAGAAGCAGAAACTTAAGTTTTGAACAGTTTTCTCAATTTTTTTCTTGCTTTGGGCGAAAAATGTACGTGGCTTTTGTGTTAGTCGAATGATCTGTAGAAAAACATTTCAGGAAAAGAAAACTACTGTTGATAATGGTTTGGGGCTACGAAGCCCTCACTTGATTATAAAAAGGGAGTTTATGAAAACCACAACGGCAACGGGAAGGGGACGTCAGTAACAAAAAGGTTTGGTGAGCAGAACAATGGCTGTACACGTGCGTTAGAAATCTTTGCAAAATGTCTTTGCGTCCTCTTCAAAACATCAACGTGAAATGACCAAAGCTTGCGTCGTGTAGTATTCGTGAACGACGACGGCAAATTCTTCAATTTATTTTTTTGATTTAACGCTCTGTACCATATTTAGTTTCGAGATAGTTTTGACAGTGAGAAACAAATAAAATAATTTTAGAGTATCGCGAGATTCTTAGGTAAAATGTAAGTTCACTTTATAGACGGATTCATGCTGACGTCATTGTTTACATTTTTGCTCATTTGCATACGGCTTTGCGTAAAGAAGGAAGCATGTTAGATACAAATTAACTTCAGGCTGCTAAAGAGCTAGAAAACCTTAGTACATGATGAAATTTTTAGCTCTTTGGGTGTAATATTCAAGGAGAATGGTCCATCAAAACCTGCAAAATTTCTGGGTGGCAAAAGCGCCAATGAGCTCGTACATTCTATGTAAAATTTTGAGTTTTTAAACCCGTGTTGCACAAAAAGTATTCAATGCATCAGGCTCGTATTCATTGGCCGAGTTAATCGTACTTTGACTTTTCGATATTCAGAACTGATCTATTTTTAGCTCCATTAGAAACTGAATTGCTTATGCTAACGAGACAAATATTGTAAACAAGGATTCCCCTATAACCGACGGTGTGCACGGTAAATCTGTCGTCGTTTCTTAACTCCCTTAGTGAAGTTTAAGGGTCCTGGGAACAAGTCTTTGACCAGCTAAAATTTCTGCTAGTTAAAATGAGTTTAAATTTTGGCATCTTGGTTTTTTTTTTCTTTACGGAGTTTAGTTTGGTTGACGTTTTTGAGTTTTCGTTCACGCTTATTTTAATCCCTCAGTTTGGAATTTTTACGAAGTTTATGGAGTTTTATCAAAACCGAATGCTGTTATTATTTTAATTACATATTTTCTACGGAGTTCGGACTCTGGTTTATTTTTTTCGCCCTTGGATTTTTGACAGCGTGGAGATTAAAACAAGTTTTTCGTTTTATTAGTTCGTGCACTGTCGTTCACTAGTTTGTAATTGAAGCAACCTTTAACAGTGCATTTCTTTCTTCACTCCCCCTTAGTTCTTGTTCAAACTTCTGGGTGTGCGGGATTTTCTTCCGTCTAATTTCCTTATTCACTGGTTGGCTGAGCACGTGTGCGACGAACACGAAGTGGATTTAATCTGCTCTAATATCCTTTTTCTCATCGCTGGATATGACAAGGCTCAACTTAATATGGTAGGTCTAGGCCAACTGTGTTTTCAAGGCTACAGTCTACCCGCAAGCGAATATCTTAGCTTCCGTCAAACGGATTTTTTTGTTAGAGTTCCTAATCACGTCGCTCCTGTCCTAGTTATTTCCACCAGTATCTAAAAAATCCTTTGATCCTATGAGTGACTAACATTTGATTTCTCCTTACAATATTACCACTGAAATGAACCCCAACCCTAAACCCACACGGGAATAAATGAAATTATCACCAACTAAAGGAGCCTTTGTTTGTTAAAAAAAATCCTCCTTGTCAGGCAGCACCTTAGGAAATGTATAGAAAAACAGTATGGAGAATATGATGAGATGCAAGTTAACGGTAAATAGAAACTGAATTTCATTTTGTTGACAGACACGACTTCCAGTGTATGTATCTCACACTCCAGCGGGCACATCAGTGAAAAACATGATACACTTCTTACAGGTACCTTAAATGGCGGCTTATATGTGTATTTGTTCGTGTAGTGATCACTATTCTCAGTTATAGTTCACCACTAAATTTTCTCCGGTTCTTATTGGTTTAAATCGATCACGTGACGCGATAGTGTTCATCCGTGGAGAGACACTATCAGCTCATAGTGCCCGCCCGCGGAAAATACCCGGATGGATATTGCCCGTCCGCGGAAAATACCTGGATTGATAGTACTCATCCGTGAAAAGTTTTGAATAGTTTGACGGCAGCGAAGTTAGTCAGATCGGAAAAACAGTGAATTTTCAATTCTGACAGGTATAACGTATTATTTAACCAATGTACGGTTGCGAATTATTGACATTTGTGACAAGCTGTAGGCGCGGAAGAAAATTGAGTGGTGAACAATAAAAACAATAGAGTGTTTATGTCTCGGAACTATCGGTCTGATAGTTGCCCCTTGGAAATTTGATGTTCTTAAAACTAGCATATTTGTTTTAAGAACATCAAATTTCCACGGGGCAACTATGGGCCGATAGTTCCTCGACAGAAACACTCTATTGTTTAATTAGTTCCAGAAAACAGTTCAGCGCCCTTCCCCCTCTCCGCCCCCCACTCGGTGCTCCGCTACTGCGATCCGTCCTCCGAGGTGGGGAGCGAGAAAGGATACATTGTTTTAGCGAGAAGAGTTTGTGGCCAATCCGCACGAAGCAGACAGATTTGAATACGGCGCGCGCTTTCACTTAAAAAAACGATGGCAAACGATCTCCGTCCACACTAGAAAATTATTGAACTATTTTCCGTCCACACTACGCTGGATAATTTGAAAACTGAAGAATCACTGGCGACAGATACGCTTGACATCCATATCATGGCCATACGCACAAGAAGCGTTTTATAATCCCGCTACAAAAGTTATGCGAATAAAAAAAAAATGATCACCAATTCTAAAAACTACTGATTTGTTAGCAAATTCTCCTTGTCAGCACCTTTGGAAATGTATAAAGAACACTACGGAGAATATGCATACTGATGTTAGAGCGTAAAGGGTTCAACAGTTTTTAACAAATATAACCTTTGTACAGATGACAGGTTCCAACAAGTTTCAAATGTTTAATTATGGAAGTGCGGAGAAGAACAGGGAACACTACGGACAGGTAAAGAGAAAACGACATTTACGGCATGTGATGATATTATCAAGCTATTTCGAAAGAAGGCCTATTCGACGATAACAGATTTTTTGCATTCTCTGCTCTAGATAAACTTTTTGAAGTCCCACAAGTGTTAAGAGTCTTTTACCTTGTCTTTAGTTCTCCAGAAAAAAAACTTTTTCCAACAATTTTTGCTCGCAGGACACCCCACCCTTATATAATGCAACAGCCATGACTGTTCCTGTGGCTCTGTACTGGGCACAGAACGACTGGTTAGCTGACCCAACAGATGTGCGGGCGCTGCTACCTCTGCTGTCCAACAAACTGTATGACAAGTATATCCCAAAATGGGATCACATGGACTTTCTTTGGGGATTGGATGCGGCAGAAGTGGTTTATTATGATGTCATAAAGCACATGAGAAACGTATAAGTTTGCCAGTACAAAAATACAAAAATACAAAATGGGAAGAGAAAATAATCAGGATAAACACAACAGCGCACCTTATCCAAGTTTATTTAAATTGGTCAAAAGCTTTGCTATTTTCATTCTTAATGTGACGAGTTTCTGAAAAAAGTGCCTCAAGAACAAGAAGTTAAGTCGTAAATATCTCATGATTTTATACAATAATCTCAAGGCTTAACTTCGTTGGTAGTAGTTTAAAATATGACATGTACGAGAATGCGCCCCGTTCTAAGGTATATGCAATATTTTAAAGAGAGAGATTGTCTATATAGAATTAATATTGATTTGATCAGTTTAAAAAGTGCAGGAAACTCTCCCTTGAGGGACGTATTCGAGGCCGAGAAAACTGAAGAATTATAGGAACCATAATTTTTGTCTCGGGACCAAAGCTCGTGTCTCCCCGAAAAGAGGAAACTTAAGGGAGAATTTTCAATTATTTTTTACGTGCAAATAAAAATTTATATCATTTGTTTATAATAGAATTTCAGACGATTCAGCATTTTTGTATATTCTCTACTGAGGATCGATTTCATGTAGGTTTTTTTTTTAACTTTCTCCCAGTCGGAATGTTTCCGGTTTTACTACCAATAATACCATGTCATTACGGCCAACTTTTGTTGCGCTGAATCTTAAGAGGCCGGGGCTCCTTTTTTCCACTCTTTCCCTGTTCAGACAGCTTTGTCTCGTTGCCTTTAGCGGGCCGTTTTTTCGTGACGAAAACCTTATATTTCTTTTCATCTGCTGATTCACTCGAGCGCCATCTTTTGATTCCCTGTATGACTCGTCTACTCCGCCCCACGCTCCTTTGGTTTAGGAGCTTCATGTGGCGGTTAATAGAAGTCTTAGTTTTTGTCGTCATCGTTGTTATTTCCCTTGTTGTCTTTACGTTGAGAGAGAGTCTGGTTCGATTCTCTTTAAAGCTCGTTATTTGACCAGTTTTGTGAACCCCCGGCTGTTTCGATCCCTTTTCGATTTTTTCCCAAGATCGCTCTTTCCGGCTCGAAGTCAGTGTCGCTTTATTGAAAACATTTAATGCGTTTGCTGGTATTTTTCGTTCAGCACTTCTCTCGTGGCTGTTATCACCATCATTCAACTCAAATGATTCTTCCATTGTAGAAGGAATAGCGAACGATGAACCTACCACATCACTCTCTACAATCGCTCCATCTCGCTCTTTGTCACCTCTTCTCTTCACACACGTTATCACGCAGTCGTCATCATGCCAAGTTTGTCCATACGTTTCACCGTATTTTGCGGCAATTCCACCCTTGCGATTCGTTGTTGAATTGCAACCAGCTTTGAAAAGTTCTATATTTCGCATAATTTCCCCACGTTGTTCTAGGTGGGATTCTTCGGCCATGTTACACAATGTCGTCTTGTCAAAATCATCATCATTCTCGCCAGTTGATTTTACAGGGCATCGACATTTGCTCTTGATTTTAATTAAGGGGTAATGTCTTTTTGAAAGCTTTCTCCTTGTGTTTTTACCACAAGGCATCGCTGCGTCTGGTACTTCAGACCACTCGTCTACAAAAGTATTAGGTCGCATCTGCTTTCTTTTTACCGAGCTGCGTTTTTTCGGATTCCCCTTATCATCCTTACAAAGTACTTCTGCTGTCATATCGACATGATGATCGACCTTAGCTGGGTCTGTCTTGAATCCTTTTCTTCGATGGATTTTGGTTTCAAACTCCTTACCCAATGAATCAGCTTTCTTTCGTTTGAGTAACTTTCGACCGTTCTTGATTTCTCGGAGCGTAAGAGCTCCATTCGTTCTCTCACTCATAGTCTTTAGAGCAGTTTTATTCGCTTTACCCAGTTGGCTTAAGCCTGAGGATTCAACACAAATTCTTTCTTTTTCATTGCCTAACTTTCCTCTGTGGGTAGAGTGGTTATTGCCTTGGCCATTAGTTCTCATTCTTTTCTTCGATTTTCCACGATTCGGCTCTTGCAAATTATTCATGTGATCCGCTCTAGCGGAAGTAACTTGGCCACACGTGTTTGATCCTTTTGCGACACCCTTGCCTCGATTAACGTATTTTAGTGATTTTCCCTCCGTTGTTCTTTCAGAGTCTTTGTATATACCTGCATTTTCCTCTTCGCTGGGACTCCCAGCGGTGTTTCTAAACCTTCTATTGGCGTTTTTGTTACGTTGTATCGTGACTTCTGAAGCACCCGCTTCCCTCTTTCTCCTCTTCTTACATGTTTCTCTGGCTTCTACAATCTTAGGCTCTGGACAAGAAAACGTTTTTCGAATCTTTCCTTTAACAGCAGAAACATTCGCAATATCACGAATTGCTGATCGCTGTTGTATGTTCGCCCTATGAATCCCGCATGATTTCACCCGACGTGTTTGAAGTCCATTGTTTTGATTTATCGCCTTCTTTCGTAACTGTAATGAAAAGCGGATGAATAAAGGAAGAGAGTTTCTAAAGAAACTGTACTGCTGCGTCGGTGGGGGTAACAAGGTAATTTGGTAACATCAACTAAATTGAAATTGTAAATTGGCCACCGTAAAGAGTTAAAAAGCTGACGTTTCGAGCGTTAGCCCTTCGTCAGAGCTCTGAGTTTTTCTACGGTTCTCTGCGGATAATGTCTTCGTCTGCCTCTCAAATATTCGAACAATTATGTATAAATTCCATATATCCACCAAAACCGTAAATTAGTTTGTGAGAAGCTAGAACGAACCAAGCGACAACAGGTGTGGTCCTCTTCACACCTTCATCTTTTGGATGTCACGTTCTTTAGGATCGTTGCGTGACATCCAAAAGTACGGCTGCGAGGGAGAGGAGTCGTCACGATGAATTTAGAGAAGAGACATTATTGTTATTATTATTATTATTATTATTATTATTATTATTTATTATTTTCCGCTCGAAACGTCAGCTTTTATAATCGTAACGGTGGCCAATTTACTATTTCAACTTTGTTGATATATTCAAATTATTTCGTTACCCCCACCGACGCAGCCCCAAACAGTTTCTTAAGAAACTATCAGCCTTTATTCACAGTGACCGTGGGCCTTCACGCGTTGAAATCAGTAAAAGTTCAATCCAGACCCATTAATGTTTGAACTTCCAGAAGTGATATTAACTTCTCCCCGTAATAACCTTACATTATTCAAAAAACAGGTGATTTGAATACTGAAACTTGTCAGGTAGAAGTCGTTATCCTGATCTCTCACCAAATTCTCACTACTATGTAAAAGGAAATGTGTAGCAGTTAGAGGGGAGAATTGAAAATAAGATCTTGAAGTTCATTTATTTATTTGTTTTAGCAGGTTGATTAATTTGGCAGCTGTAATAGCTGGTGTGGACCTGCTGTCCTAACCCACCCATCCCACCCCAGGGGAGGACACCATCACACAGTAATCTCGTGTGTGGGAAATTAACGTCTCCTGCCCCAACCCTGCAGGAGACGGGACCTCCATTTATTCGTCCCTATCCGAGAAGACTAGAATATCTAACCATTTCTTGATGTTACAGAAAAGTAGCAAATTCTTCTCAATTATTTTAAGACCTTGAGTGTTGGTCCGGCCGGGGCTCGAACCTTCGACCTCCCGCACTACAGTCCAGCGCTCTATCCATTGGGCTAACCGGGAAGCGTTAAAGGGTTAACTTTCTCAAAAGTAAACAGCACCTCTCTTGTTTTTGTTGGCAGACATTAAATTGCCAAAGTATAGAGCTCGTACACAAACAAATAATGAGAAAATTGCACGGAGGTTCCCATCGACACGGCCCGGTCATTTCTGTAATATTTTTTCCCGCTGTTCTTAAAACTAATTTCAAAGCCAAACATTTCAAAGTAACAGAGAGGCTTTTGTACATCACTGCCAGTCGATGAATATGTTTAACACTTTAAACAAGCCATGGTAAGCATGCTAAGTTACTCACGTACGTTCTTGTAGCAACATCGATGTTTGGTGAGGTAGTAATGCTGAATGCATTGAGCCACCGTCTGCAAAGTTAAAGGTTTAAAAAAAAATAATCGGCAATCATCTTCTGAATAGGGCGAAAGAGAAAAAAAAAAAAAAAAAAAAAATCCCAAAAGGACAAAACATTAGTGCATCTCATATTTGACGTCACTTTCAATTCCGACGATATTAACTGAAAGATTTCATTTGAATAGAGTGGAGTTTGCATGTCACTTTCATGCTATGTTTTCTTTGCTGTGTCAGTCACAAGCTTCTGGTCGTGAAAGTATTAAATGTGTACAAAAGTACCTTAAAAATACACTGTGGGTCAACTTTCCATTCATGTGCAGTTACTTCCACTGAAACAGGTTTTCAATATGCCAAATTAAACGTGGGGTTGGCTTTGTATTGGGAAGACTCGAAGATAGACGAAGACTTGATAAGCTAGGTGTTATAATCACCGGGGGGAGTCTAGGATAATTCATCATCTGACCAGGGAATTCCGAGTTAAATTGCACGCTGAAACCGATATCGCACGAAACGCGAAGCGATGAGTGAGATATTGGTTTTCAAGTGCAATTTAACGCGAAATTCACGATTCATGTAATAGACTTTCCTTGAATCGCATAATTGAATAAAAATGATCAAAAAAGAAAACATAGTTGTTATGTATATGTAGATTCGAAACAATATCACTTAGCCTCGTTTCAAATCGTAATTCCACGTTAAATACCTCGCTTCGTTAACCAATCAGAATGCGAACTTTTATCCAATTATGCGATTCTCAGTACCAAACTCGATTCCTAGTCTGAAATGTTATGTTGTTTCTACTGACAGCTCTGTATCCTTACCTTTCCTGGCAAAGCGTTTGAGATCAACTGAAAATCTTTTCCAACCTCGGTAAATCTATATATGGCAGATCAGATTTGGAATTATCATATGTATCCGATCTCGTTATTTCCGACTATGTTCATAGTATCCTTACACCCTTAATTAACACGATTTTATGATTTAACGAGCCATTGTCCATATCTAAATTACAGTGGTCTACCTCGGATATGCCTATCATTCTCTAGCAGAGAAAGAGATCGAAAAAGCAAACAAGTTTTCGCGGTCATTGTGGCCCGTATTTGCTTCAAGAAATCGATGGATATGATTCCGGTGCTAATCTTAATGAAAGTGATACAATATTTAGAGAATGAGGGTGTAAAAAAAAAAAATCATCTCTAAGAGCCCAAAGATGAAGTTCCATGCCCCTATCCCAAAGATTGAATAGGACGTGGTCTCTTTCTAATTATTGCGTGGGTCTTTCTTTTGTTTTTTGTTTTTCTTTTTTATGAAAACCATTCCACAAGTTAATTTGGTTATATATACCAACTGAGTCAATAATGTAAATTGGCCACAGTTGAGGGTTTCTGATCTGAAGCTGGCGTTTGGAGCGTTATCCATTCGTCAGAGCCATAGAAGGGCTCGAAATGTCAACAGTGGCCAATTTACATTATTAAGTCAGTTGTTTAAACCAAACTATTTTTTAATACCCGACGCAGCACCACAGTTTCTTTTGAAACTTACCCCCTTTATAAGTAACGTTAAATAGGGAATACTTCACTAAAAGATTCGTACCCTTGTTTATAAAATAAGGGACTTTAAGCAAACCACGACGGCGACGGCAACAAGAACGTGGAAAAACAATAGATATAATTGGCAGAACAATAGCCGCAGCACGTGCGTTTTAAAACTTTGTACATTTCTTAGCCGTCCTTTGCAAAATAACAACGTGAAATCACCAAAATTTGCGTCGTCTGCGAAGCAAAACCGCGGCGGCAAATTATTTTAATTTACATTTGGAACTCAACGCTACTTTTATGCGTTATGTTGAGTTTGAGGTCTGGCGCCCTATGAGACGGTAAACACATGCAGCCATTTTCGAAATTCTAACTAAAAGTAGAAACTCATTTTTTAATCGACGTCTTCTGTGCCGTTGCCGTCCTGACTGCTTGAAGTTCCTCTCGTCAGACCATAAGGGAAACTTAGTTGGTTACCCCAAGGCTCATGCTGCGCTCACCCAGATGCGATGCAAATCTATAGCAGTGTTACCCTGAAACATTTCGTCAGATTTTCTGAGAAGTTTACCGTTAGCTAGCCATGAATACTTCTTGGTGGGGAAAAACACTGTGAGAATTAAGTTTCTTTTGGAAGAATACAGGCACCTTTGAATGAAATTGGCTCTATCATGATCGGTCCAGCTTGTCAGTAAATCTGCTCTCAGGTCGATACAAAGATTTGATAATCGGTCAGCTGACGAGGGAAGATTGTTGGATTAATTTTTACGGTTACAACTGACCTCAAACCAAATTGCTGCCATTCATGCCTTAAATGTATTTTAATTCAGGACATATCTTTCATAGTTAGCCAAGATATTCACGTCATCAATATACAAAACGCAGAGAGGGAATAAAAGGAAAACCGACGTCGATAACGTTGAGCCGACTCAACAGCTACTAAGGTTATAATTAACAATTATTCCCCGAAGTGGAGGTAAAAAGTGGTGGCCATTTACCTAGCCGTGTGGCGGCAAAGTAAATATTTATCACTTTCACCGACACTGAGGTGTAGTATACACCACAAAAATGCCAAAACATTAATTTCTTTCTTTCAATATACCAAAAAATGGTCGGAACAAGCTCTTAACGCGCGATTTTGTCTTATCGGCTGCTCGAAGATGAATAGTGCTTGCCATTCACCTCCTAACCAGTCAATCAGCGCGCGCGAAATGTACTGTGGTCCAGTTGTGCTGCACAGTTGTGATAGTTACTAATCGACTTAACTCAGGCTTTTATTCGAACACTGAGTTAACCGTTAAACCTAAGAGTGGTATGTATCTAATTTCTTCCAACTGTATCGCCCCCAAATCAACAATTGAGGTCATGAGAATTAAAAAAAAAAACAATCGCGAGTTAAGAAGCTCAATATTTCCTTGTAAGTACCGTAGGGAATGTATAGAGAACAGTCTGGAGAACTAGCTGGCTGAATTTTAGGGTGTAGAGGGGTAACATCCAACTTCATTGTTGGAGTGAACCCGTCTTCATTGTTTTAGAATTAAAATGTCAATAAAGCACTTCTTAAAATTGGAGTACAATCTAACGTATTCCACCTTACTTGTAAGAAAATGCGTTTTATTCTCGATTAAATGGCTTTATGTAGACTTCCCTGTCTGGTTTACTTTTGTATGAAACCAAAAGTCTTTGTGAAACGTAATAAGGAGACATGAAATGTTTCACTGCATTACTACCATGGGAAATTATTCTAGCTCCAAGTGCTAAACTTGAGTTTATACCCTGACCTTCTCTGAAGTTCTGTCTCGATGGCTTTTCTCTGCACGTTGGAAGTTGACCCTCAGGGATGTAGTTTGCTCTTAAATCCTTTGCAGAAAATAATTACAGATAAATAAGTTCATTTCAGCTGAATTTCGCCTGCATGAAACTCCTATGTGTGATTTAATCCTTTTTCAACCTCTAAGACTGACTAGCATCTAATTTCTTCTTACCCCCTCCCCCCATGTTCCTCAACTCCTTGACCCCTAGGAGTGACCGGCATCTAATTTTTCCTGACCCCCTCCTCCCATGTTCCTCAACTCCTTGACCCCTAAGAGTGACTAGCATCTAATTTCTCCTTACATGAATATCACCTCTGAATCAAATATGAAGGTCACAAGAATAAAGGAAGTAATCACCAACCAAAGAAACTCTTGATTGCTAAACAAATTCTCCTCGTCAGCGCCTTAGCATTTATATAGAGAAAAATATGGAGAATATACTTGTTGATGCTTGGGTCATTGTAAAGAGTTAAAACTATCCTAACTGAACTGTTTCAGAAAAAAGTTCCAAAAACCCTCTGACGATATCAACGAAACAGAAATAAAGGTGACTCTCTCAAGGAACGCTTAGAATAAAGATTCCACGTGACTTATCGACTTCTTGTCGTAGTAGAAAGCATGTCACGGTTCAGTCTTGATAAGACGACAGTTATGTAAGTATTAATGAATAAAGGCTGATGGTTTCTAAAGAAACTGTTTGGGGCTGCGTCGGTGGGGGTAACGAAATGATTTGAATATATCAACAAAGTTGAAATAGTAAATTGGCCACCGTTACGATTATAAAAGCTGACGTTTCGAGCGTTAGCCCTTTGTCGGAGCGAATAGAGGAATTGTGGGTTGTGTGTGCTTTTAAAGGCAGAAAATTTCGTTACCCCCACTGACACAGCCCCAAACAGTTTCTAAACTATCAGCCTTTTTTTACCATAA